ATATATAATTAGTAACTCTATTGATAAATGAAACTGATATATAAATACAACACTTCTATAAAATTGTATAGAGTTAAAACTGATTAAATACAGAAAACTTCTGAAAAAACAGGTCATGCAATTACGACCTCTTAGGAAAAGCTCACAAAAAAGCTCCCGTTATATCGAAAAAACCTCAAAGTGAGATTTTTCATTTTGAAAAAACTGACCAAAAAATATGAAAAAACATATTGTGGATGTCCTAATAATTGTATATCTATGTAGTACACTAAGATGTAAAACATCAATATAAATTGGTAATATAAAAATAATACTATCTCTTGTTTTAAAAAATCTAGGGAATTCTGTTATATTAGACCAACGATTATCATGTATTTAAACATGTTTATTAGTTACTATATCAAGTTTAAACATGAAGTTTACAAAAATATACATATGCAATAATAAATTACAATTTAAGGTTTATGAGATAATATATTAATAAGGGGGAAGTAATTCTTTAAAGAAAATCTTTTTAATTTTTTTTTATCAAATATGTTATAATATAATATAGATATATGGAAAAATAAATGAAAATGATAGCTAATTAAAAATACTAATGCAAATGTACAAACTAATCAAAACGTATGAAATATAATTTTGATTGTTGTTGATTTCAAAGTAATCGTAAATTCACCTTTGTCCGACAATATGTATTTGATCTATCTTTCACATAATGCTCTTAAGGTAGATAAGTTTTGACCGATTAGAAGATTGTCAGATATAAACTATTTTAGACAAATATAATCATGATAAGGTATCTTTGGGTAACGTGGACCAACGGATTTCTAAATCAATGGTGGCATTTCTGGCCCACAGCCTCAGACTCGGTTCAAGACCTATAGGGAGCAGTCCAGTAAGTAGGCAATTGGAGATATGAAAAGGAGGTGACTGAAGTAATCCTAATGGGGTACCTTTGGGTAACGTGGAACCAACGGAACAAAAAACTCCATAAGGGAAAGATGAAGAGTGGTAAGGAGATTGAAATCTTATCCAGTACTTTGCCTCTTACTGGATCAAGTCAGTTCTAAAATTGGAGTGTTTTTTGTTGGGATGTTTGGTTGAATTCCCCTATAACTTTTGGTCATCACCTGTACCTTTTAACGCCTCCCTAGTTCTTGTTTACAATATATTTATCCCTTTTGTTGTCCAAAATAAAAATCATAATTAATATTAAAAAGATATTATTACAACTTAAAAGATTCATTTATTTTTTCTTCAAGTGGAAACCGAATCATTTGCTTGCCCTACATCAATCCGACCAATGGTTCCTTCCTTCGGGTCACTTTGCATCTTCTTTATTGCTTTTCCCTTTTCTTTGGCGAATATTGATCAAATTAGGGGTCGTTTAATTGAATGGTTATTCGATAAGCATTTAGTAGTAAGAGTTCACTCTAAATTACCTTACTGGATAAGATTATAGTCTATCAAAACAGTATAGTATGAAATAATTTACTCGGTAAAAACTTATCATGTCAGAGTCATCATCCTCACTTACTAGGTAATTCTCTTCATTCTTATCATCACTTTTATCGGGCAAGATTATCGAGTAAAGTCTCTCTTATATGTTTCACCAATTAACTATTGAGAAGATTATTACTTTATTTAGTATCAACTTATCTTATTTATCTGCGTATTCTCATTCTTAAATAAATTAGTAATAATGTGACATAAAATGATTAATAGAAAAAAATTTACCTAAAGTTTGAGAACCAGTGATTTATATTATTTGTTTGCCTATTCCTTTCTCGTTCACAAATCGGAATTGACGTACGTACGACCTCTAATACATAAAATACAAGAATTTGCAGCAATATTGTAATGAACATAAAAAATGTATTGATATACAATATTAAATACATAAAATACAAGTATTTACAGCAATTAACATTGTTGTATTTGAACTTCAAAACTGTTGTAGCGTTGTTAAAAGAAAAAGGTGTCATCTCTTTTAGCTCCTCTATCCTCCCATTTTAACTTATTATTGCAATTATTTCCATTTTATTATTTTGAATAACCCATTTTTAACTCAAAATATTGAAAAAGCTTAAAAATTCCACCTCGTATGAGTTGGGTTTCTTTCCTTGTCGTTTCTATATGAACGAGCCTTCAAAATTTGGTGTCCAAAAACCACTCGTCGTCTCAATTGCAACAGGAAACATACTTGATACAGGCACGAGACAAAGTCCCAGACTCCTTAAATCTTGTTTGGGTCCTTCCGTATCTTTCACTTTGTGGTCATGAATCTATGAAATAGAAATTGATTTGTTAATATTGTGAAAATATGTAGAACCCAATTAGATTACTCTCCACCTAAATGCTTGATGAAAGAAATGGAAGTTTCAAATGGTCCAACTCTAGCATGGGGTTCCAAAACGCCCTCCAATAGAGGCTGGACAAACAGATTGTCCAAAAAATATAGACAGTGGATCAGATATAATGTGAGAAGATGTGGAACCCACTAGCTTGCTTTCTGAAAGAGCTTATGAGCATAGAAGATAGGTCCACAAATCATATATGAGAAATTGTTCAAATTAGCCGACATACGAATCCAACAAATATGACTCTAACTGAATCAAAGTATTTCACAATGGAAAGTTTTGAAAAATAAATGAATATATATGTATGGAGTTTCAAATACAAATTTTATATTATGAAATAATGAAAATATTTATGAAAGATGATAGAGTCCATTTATTATGGTCATTACTTTAGATCTAAAAACAATCAAGATATTTATAAGATGAAATATTCATTAGGCTGGATAGACGGTTAAAATTAGTTTGTATGTTCTGTAACATATATATATATATATATATATATATATTATTTATACTTTGGAATTTCTCTATATCTCTCTCTCTCTCTCTCTCTCTCTATATATATATATATATAAAGTTGTGTATCGACCTATGCAATCCAATGCAAAATCATATAAAGAACTATTATAAACCGAAAATGTAATTTTGATGTAATTTTTTATTAAAAAATTCAAAGTTACGGAGTATTAAGTAATATTAATAGGAGTCAACGTTCATTTGTTAATTGGTTTTATAAAACTAAAACGTGAAATTTAAAAAATTAATTATACGAATATAATAATAGGTTGTAGAATTGAATAATAATACGTTTTAAGCTTGAATTTTAAACAATTTTGTATTAATATAATCAGTATTTGATGTTTGATAAATTATTTTTGTTAGTTTTTACCAAATCTACGTGTTTTAAATTAAAAAAATTGTGTATTTTAAGAAGGGAGAATATAACACCTGTTGAAGTTGCTTTGTAAGTCCATTCTTCATGTAAGGTGCACTTAGAATCTGAGATACATCAAGAAAATTAATTAAATAACATGATTCAGAAACAAATAATTTTATTTATTATATACATAAAGAGAGAGGAGTGATCAAATGTAAACCATCCAATTTGTACAAACCGTGTAAACCACCCTCATCCGTCGATTTCATTGTTTATTCTTATGAAATTTTTTCATTCAATTGTTTAATCTTGTGAAATTGTTTCATATAATACTTTTTTTTGATGAAGTTGTTTCATATATGGTCATGAAATTGTTTCATATAATACTTAATAAATTTTGATAAAATTGTTTTAGTATTTCTCTAAAATTAAAATAATAAGATGATAATATCCATGATTAACACCCTTCACAATAAAAATGATTAATCAACCTCTCATAATTACAACAAAAAATGAACAAAATGAAAAATTATGATTGGTTGAATGAGGTTTGTACGGTTTGTATAAATAACTTGGTTTCAAAATAAACCATATATATATATATATATATCGGGAAGTATTCAAACGATAACACTTTCATTTTATGGGAACGCAAGAATACCCTTTTACTATAGACAATCACATGTGATACTACTATTCCATCACATATGTGATACTAAATCAGAGACGCATGAGATTTTCGATGCAATCTTGGTTGCGGGCCAAGTCGCCTCTTACACCACTAAGCCCCTTCAGAAGAATTACACATATGATAAGGGTGTTGTTGATATGATACTATAATTCATCAACACCATCACATGTGATGCAAAATCATAGACACAGACAACCTTCGGTGCGTCCTAAGTCATAGAACATGTCGTCCGCATATCACAGGGTTCCCTCACACGTATTATCACATGTGATAAGGGTATTCTCACGTTCTCATAAAATGAAGATGTTCTCGTGTGAACCTCCATCCTATAATGTATATATATATATATATATATATATATAGACTTGGGRTCATGTGAGACCAGCCTGTTTTCGTGAGACCCGTGAGACCAGCCTGTTTTCGTGAGACCCGTGAGACCAGCATTTTACACTTGAAACTTCACAGCAAAATGCTGTGAAGGTAACTTTTTAAAACCTTCACAGTGTTTTTGTTGTGAAGGTTTGACTTCTTTTAAACCTTCACAGTGTTTTTGTATATATATAGGGTTGGGTTCACGTGAGACCAGCCTGTTTTCGTGAGACCCGTGAGACCACATTTTTACACGTAAACTTCACAGCAAAAACACTGTGAAGGTTTTAAAAAGTCGAACCTTCACAGCAAAAACACTGTGAATGTTTTAAAAAGTCACCTTCACAGCATTTTTGCTGTGAAGTTTCAAGTGTAAAATGCTGGTCTCACGGGTCTCACGAAAACAGGCTGGTCTCACATGATCCCAAGTCTATATATATATATATATAGAGAGAGAGAGGTGGTTATTATACAACTCTTTACATTTGTACAACTAATACAACTCAATCTCAACAGTCCATTTAATTTCATGAATATGTGATTTAATAGAAGTTTTAATTGTTTCTTAATATAAATTATTGATCATAACTAATTAACTCTAAATATTCAAATCATAATAAATGAACTCTTATCATTTCCATAAACATCTCAATTTATTTGGTTGCATTGGTTATACAAATGTGGATTGCATTTTGAAACGAACACTCTCTCTCTATATATATATATATGTATATATATATTCAACTAATGTTATAAAATAATAAATAAGAACTTACATTCACTTGATCATGCAGAAGCTTGATGTATTCTATAGCTTCATGGAGCACAGATGCAGTATCAGTCTGTAAAATTAAATATGCTTACTTATTTTGAACAATTTCTTCAACAGAAGCCGACAATTAAAACCAGAAATGATTACAAGCTTACCTTTCCAAATGGCGAAACTAATTGCTGAAGCGCAGTGATTCGATCTCCTAGTTTCTCTTTTCGAACCTGAAACCATTCTAATTTATTAGGCTTTGTGCCAATTAAAACACATTGAATTTAAAAATATAACGAAATTTAAATGATCGACACCTTAAAGGTTGGCAATGGCGATGGTGTTTCAAGCCATGGTCGCTTGAATGGAAGTTCACCAGAGCTTTTCTTCTCTGTTGAACCCGAGTCCCGGATTTCTTGATGATGAGGCTAAATTTTACAGAAAATATATTTATAAACATCATTATTTGGCAAGAAAAAAAAACCCTAATTTTTTTGTTAAAAACCCTAATTAGAAAAAATATGTATATATATATATATATATATATATATGCAACTAAACGTATTTTTTATTACCTGTATAGTGAGGTTAGAGGACCTTTGTTTCTCTTTGTATGATGATGGGAGGAATTGAGAAGGCGATTCTAAAGTTGATGTTGAAGCATTCCAAAAAGGGATACTATTAGTTAAGTGCAAATGACCAGAGACCTGTTGTTTTGGGCACATGGAAGGCAAGCTTTGAACGAAATGGAAATCGTTTGAATTCGATTCAAAGCTATAAAGTGGGTGTTGTGATGGCGGTGGTGGGCTACTGTCGTACAAAGTTTCTAGCAAACTTGAAGGGTAATCATATGAAGTGGAACTAACGGGGAAGGTGGCGGGATCACCCGAACTGGTGATAAAATTTAATGATTGTGGTTGATCCATGGTGAACCGTTGATGCTCAGCCGTTGTCACCGCCTTTGAACCGCCATCACCGCTGGTTGAAAAGGTGTTCAACCCTTCTTGTACCCTACTGCTATATGACAAGAAGAACATTTAAAATCGACAGAACATATATATATATATATATATATATATATAGAGAGAGAGAGAGCATGATTGATCAACATTTACATCTTCTTTTTCCATGTAATTACAAAGAAATAAGTACCAAAAAACCCACAACTTGTAATATGTATGGACCATTTGATTTAGTGGAAACTAAGATCGAATCAATAATTGAAGAAAAAAAGAAACAAGAAAAAGAATGATTTTTTTTTTCTATAAAGTTATGATCAAGTTAATTAAACAAAAAGGGACCAAGTGGAGAAGCAACAAATCTTACAATAGCAAATCCTGATTCCAATCAGGGTTCGTAGTCATCGGCGAATCAGGAAAAGCAGTAGCCATCATCTGAAAGGAGGAATCCGGCGACATAGTGGTTGCGCCGCCACCTGGCCGCCTTCGAATATCTTGGAAGACCATAGAGCCGTCCAAAGATTCATCACTTGACTTTGATTTTATGTCCATCAAATCCCTTGGCCAGCAGGGGCCGAAGTTCTCCATGTCTGTTATAACCGATGAACACGATAAGCGGTTGAAGGCGGTTCTTGGTGACATCCACCAGCTCCCACCATATACGACTGCTTGAATTTCTTTTGCCATTGCCCTAAATATTATTACTTGAACTTATACTTGACAATAAAACGACTTGTATACATTTGTGTTATAAATAGTGATATACATATACTATATATATATATATATATATATATATATATATATCACAAAATTTGAAGACCTAATTCTCAGTGAACCGTATGGGGTTGACATTAAAAAGATTTCCTTGGTAGTCAAACGAGTAGGGCAGTTTTGTTATTATTATATTATTTTTAACTTTTAATAAAGTGATAACTAATATATTGCGTCTAAAATACAATACTTTGTTATAAGCTTTTAACCTAATATAATTTTTTAATCATTAATAAGTTCCAATAATTTTTTTATATAGATATAAGTTTAATTTAAATGTTAATGTGACTCTATAAATTTCGTTTTAAAATCTTTATTTGATTTTAGATATAAGATTTTACAACTTTGTTGATATTATAAACTTAAAATTTTGAACAAAAAAGCATATAATACATCAATAGTTTTTGGCTTATAAGTAATAAATATTTGAGTTTTTTAACCTCGGTGTCTGGACCAACTTGTGTGCATCTCGACTAATCTAGAAGAGTCTGGAGAACAGTCAAGAACATCCCCAGTGGTTTTGCAGGACTAAAACTTATACGGTTTAAGAAGAATCCTCAAATACTAAGTCTTATTATCAGTTAAACTAACTCCACAAGATTAATTTTTTGTATGAACCTTTGAGTTTCTTTTATACATACAAAGGACGCATGAACAGTGCTTGGAAAATACCTTCACACGAATTTTTAGGTCAAGTGGTCGTTTATGTTGCAAGGGAAGGTAACTATAACTTAAAAATGATGAAATATGAATCCCTTTTATATTATAATCAACTCAAATCATTCATTAAAAATATAAAAAATAAATCTGTGTCGATGTTTAAAGAGGAAATTAGTATCTGCGAGTGCATTTATCCTACACCTAACTTAATTATGTTTTGATCGATCTTTTTTTTTATAGATTTTTTATGCCAAAATTTAATTTTTTTTACCATATTTTGAGCTAATTAAAATGAGAATTAGTATAAGATTAATTTAATTATCGCAAATTGCATCGAATGTGTTAGCATCGCTATTATGAAGCCTTTTACCTACAGATTTTTTCTTAGAAATTTGTCGTTCAAAAAGTGATTCCTCACAAGACCGTCAAGTTGGTGGGAAATTCAAAGCAGCGACAAATTACCCAGGTATTTTCTGGGCGATCCGTTAGTATTTTTTTGAAAATCATTAGATTTTACCTGAACAACTAATATTTTCTGGATAATTCATCGGTAATCATCAACGAAAATTTCTTTAGATATTTTTTATGGATAAAAGCCATTTGTTTTATACTGACTCTTAAGCCAGTTATATATAAGTACGTGTATAAACAAGAGCAACCAACATTCATATATTAGTGTCATTAACTTACATCATTGAATGAATAGCAATACCGATTCAATAAGAGAGCTCGGATTCAATACTTCTGGACTCAATTTAAATTTAAAAATAAATGATTAAAATAGTAGTATACAACTCATGTGTGTATGTTTTATTAAATTGAGAACTTAATTAATATGTATTTGATTAAAAAATTGATTATTGATAGTTTCAACCGGTCCATGTGAATCCGTCTCCAATGACATCGATGTAAGGAATTATTTTTTGATTTACTCAACGGCAAAGACTAGTGGGAGATTTTGGGATCAAACTCTCGTGACATGTCTTGTATTTACACAAAGTTGTTTAAGTAACTGAGTTACACATTATTTAACATGTAATCTTTAATTTAAAAATTCATTTCCACAAAATAGTTATATAAAAATCTTGTAATATTTCTTGTTATATAGTTTGTAAGATTTATATGATAAACCACAAGGGTGGTGCCTGATTGGTTTGAGTTTGGCCCCAAATGTCAAAAGTATCAGGAGGTCTCAGGTTTAAATCAAAGGAGGAATAAAAATCCCCTTGTGGGTACGGAGGTTCAAATGCGGTGACTCCGGACTATCTGCAAAACAGGTGGTCGTCTTGGAATTAATCGAGTTGAATATCCAGGTTAATAAAAAAAAATTTATATGATGAATTGTATTATATGGTATTTTAGATATGTAAAATAGTGAGGAGGATTCATTATTCCCCAATAAAAAGCGTGACGATTTTCTGTAAAATGTATTTGTTTTTAACAAAGTTTTTTTTTTTACTTTTGAAATATTCGTTATAGATTTAATCTTAAACCCACTCTAATGAGTGAAGAGGTAAATATATTTTAAATATTTATTTGAAAGAGTTGAATGGAAGTTGAGAAATTAAGAAAGGGGTGTGCTTGAACTATGTGCCACGTCATCATGCTTTCAATCGTACGGCTGATCTGACTGCCACGTCATCACAATAGAATAACGAATAACCAACCTTTTGTCTTTGTTTAGTTCTAAAGCTGAGCTGTCCCAAATTTTGAACGGAAATTCAGGGGTTCGGTGGGTCCCACCACTTCTTTTAACAAAAGAGAATTTTCAACATATATTTTAGGAAATTTATAAAATAGAGAAATAAATTTTAAAATCTTTAAAAAATATATAGATATTTAACTTGATCTTCATTTTATATATTACAATTTTATTATATTATTAAAATATTACATTTACCTTATAAAAATATTATTTCTCTTCTTAAAAATTCATTTTCCAAGTTTGTTATAAGTGAGAATATATTAAATAGTGAATTATGTATTTGATCCTTGTCTTTTAATGTTTTTTTAAGTAGGATCTTTTGGTATATTTATTATGAATTTGGTTTTTATGATATTTAATTTGTTTTGGTCATATTTCTTCTGACTAATGTCATTAAAGTAAATCCTTTAATTCAGTTAAATCAATAACCATTTTAAGTCTTTTTACCTATTTTTTGTCTTTTTCTTTTAAAAAAAGTAAAACAATATTTTTATACACACATAAATATATGTATCTATTTATACATATATGTATATATGCATAAGGATATCAAAATAAATAAATAAAGTAAAGTTCACTTTTAGCCCCTAATGTTTGTCACTTGCAACGGTTTCATCTCTCAATTTTATTTTAACATATTTGCCTCTCACGTTTGTCGATTCCCAATAGATTTTGTCATTCCTTCTAACGACCATTAACTTTTTTTTTATTAAATCCAATTTAATGAAGGGTATTTTAGTCATATTCTTGTTTCCTTATTTTTCTATGAAACTTAAAAAAAACATATAATATATTATGATATTATAAGTTATACAAAAAGACCCCTCAGATCCATGTCACCTTAAAACAATAGTTATCCACCTTCATCTTCCCAAGTCATCTTCTCGAGCTATTACCTTATCTTTGGCCACCACAAAACATAACACATAAAGAGACCAAAAATTCAAACTCAAACCCAAATCCAAACCTCAAAATCAAAATCAAATCCAAATCCAAGCTAGAAGATCAAAATCAAAACAAATCTAAAATACAAAAACTAAAATCAAACGCAAATTTTAACCTTAATCACCAAAACTCAAAATCAAAATCAAACCCAATCCTAACATTAATCACCAAAACTCAAAATCAAAATGAAACTGAAACTAACCTCATGTTAGCGAAAAGTATAGAACCAAAAAAAGGTTGGTCGATCAAGAACTAGATTACTTGAGAATCGTGGAAGAGATTACTTTTCGAATTGATATTTCGACCATATGCCTGGGTTATATGAAATTCAATATGGGATAAGACTCACGAGAGCACTTTCGCTTTTAGGCACAAAAAAGAGAGCAAACTCATTGAAGAGTATATTAGGATTGTTCAAAAACCCCGTCCTTAAAACATAAGCATAAAAGTTATTTATGCTCATAAAGTTTAATCGAAAAGATAATCATCGCTCAATTTTAGGAGTGACAATTATAAAATTGCACATTAAAAATAGTGGACGGTTACAAAATTGTTCATTAGTAGTAGTGGACAATTACAAAACTGTTCTAACCGTTCTAGACATGAAGTTAGAGACAAGACCGGCCAAAGCCGCTCTAGTGCTTAAGGACCAGAGCCTCTGGTCTTACCAACCAGAACTTCTGCTCTTAACAACCAAAGGCAAGTCTTATAAATCATAAGCAGGAACCAGAACCCCTCTGGTCTTACCAACCAGAGACAAGTCTTAGCAATCATAAGCAGGAACCAGAACCCTTCTGGTCTTACTAACCAGGGACAAGTCTTAGCAATTATAAGCAAGGAACTAGAACCTCTAGTCTTACCAACTAGAGCCTCTAGTATTAATAACCAGAGGCAAGTTCAACCAGAGCCCTTATGGTTCTTAACAACCAGAGACAAGGAACCAGAGCCTATGGTCTTACCAAACAGAGCCTTTGGTCCTTAACAACCAGAGGCAAGGCAGATCAGAGTCCCTCTAGACCTTAACAGCCAGAGGCAAGGAACCACAACCTCTGGTCTTACCAACCAGAGCCTCTGGTCTTTAGAAACTAGACTCAAGGTCATCTTTACAATTAGAGGCAAGGCTGATTAGAGCCCCTCTGGACGACCACAAACCCTCAGGTCCTTATGATCAATTTTCCACTATAATGCAAGCGGTGCAGCCCCTTAACTCCCACCAAGGTCACACTCGTCTTATAACAAGGGTGCACTTCGCACCTCCTGACTTATATTAGAACACAGTATAAAATCTCCTTAGAACTCGATGTTAATTACACTTAAATAGCCTGGTGACACTAAAATCACCAACAATCCTCCCCTATTTTAGTGTAACCCATGAAATAACACTTTAAAATGAACAAACCAAACTTGCACATAAATGAAAATATCGAATCAGTTGAATTTCCATGTTAGCATTTTACACATTTCAAATATTAGAGAATCAAGGTATCCTAAGGATTGAACCCTTCAACTCATTTGAATACCTGAAGATAAAATACATACAAGTTTACAATACTCTTTCAGAAAAATAAACTGACATTATTATAAAGTCGTGTGTCCTAATCCTCTCATGATTGTATAGAGGGCCAAGTCCC